TGATGAGTTGGCTGTTAAGGATTCTCTGGCTCTCAGTGTTCAGTGTGCAGGTTCTGTGTCTAATATGGCCCAACGCCTATTTGCTCGAACCCGCCAAGTTGAATCATTGGCGGCTGAAGTGATGAGTCTCAAACAGGAGATTAGAGGGCTCAAGCATGAGAATAAACAGTTGCACCGGCTCGCACATGACTATGCTACAAACATGAAGAGGAAGCTTGACCAGATGAAGGAATCTGATGGTCAGGTTTTACTTGATCATCAGAGATTTGTGGGTTTGTTCCAAAGGCATTTATTGCCTTCGTCTTCTGGGGCTGTACCGCGTAATGAAGCTCCAAATGATCAACCTCTAATGCCTCCTCCTTCTAGGGTTTTGTCCAGTACTGAGGCTCCGAATGATCCTCCTCCGGTGCCTTCTCTTTCTGGGGCTCTACCGCCTGCTGAGACTTCTCCTAAGCAACCTTTGTGAAGGCTCCCTCTTGTTTGTTTATTTTGACTCAAGTATATGTACATATTTGTAACATATCGGGGATATCAATAAATAAGCTTTCCTTCATTTCAACGTATTGTGTTAAATACACCAAAGCCTTCTTCGCTAAGTTCTTTGAATTTTCTTTTGTTGAAGCTTGTATGTTGAAGCTTTGTGAGTGGAGCATATAGGTTGAGGTAGTGTTCCCTTAATTTCCCGAGTGAGGAAAACTTCTTGGTTGGAGACTTGGAAAAATCCAAGTCACTGAGTGGGATCGGCTATATGAATCTTAGAACGCCATTGTGTTCTGTCCTGTGTCATGTCCTCCGTTAGATCCAAGTACTCTAAGTCTTTTCTTAGGGTCTCTTCCAAAGTTTTCCTAGGTCTTCCTCTGCCCCTTCGGCCCTGAACCTCTGTCCCATAGTCGCATCTTCTAATCGGAGCGTCAGTAGGCCTTCTTTGCACATGTCCAAACCACCGTAACCGATTTTCTCTCATCTTTCCTTCAATTTCGGCTACTCCTACTTTACCCCGGATATCCTCATTCCTAATCTTATCCTTTCTCGTGTGCCCACACATTCAACGAAGCATCCTCATCTCCGCTACACCCATTTTGTGTACGTGTTAATGCTTCACCGCCCAACATTCTGTGCCATACAGCATCGCCGGCCTTATTGCCGTCCTATAAAATTTTCCCTTGAGCTTCAGTGGCATACGACGGTCACACAACACGCCGGATGCACTCTTCCACTTCATCCATCCAGCTTGTATTCTATGGTTGAGATCTCCATCTAATTCTCCGTTCTTTTGCAAGATAGATCCTAGGTAACGAAAACGGTCGCTCTTTGGTATTTCTTGATCTCCGATCCTCACCCCTAACTCGTTTTGGCCTCCATTTGCACTGAACTTGCACTCCATATATTCTGTCTTTGATCGGCTTAGGCGAAGACCTTTAGATTCCAACACTTCTCTCCAAAGGTTAAGCTTTGCATTTACCCCTTCCTGAGTTTCATCTATCAACACTATATCGTCTGCGAAAAGCATACACCAAGGAATATCACCTTGAATATGTCCTGTTAACTCATCCATTACCAACGCAAAAAGGTAAGGACTTAAGGATGAGCCTTGATGTAATCCTACAGTTATGGGAAAGCTTTCGGTTTGTCCTTCATGAGTTCTTACGGTAGTCTTTGCTCCTTCATACATATCCTGTATAGCTTGGATATATGCTACTCGTACTCCTTTCTTCTCTAAAATCCTCCAAAGAATGTCTCTTGGGACCCTATCATACGCTTTTTCCAAATCTATAAAGACCATGTGTAAATCCTTTTTCCCATCTCTATATCTTTCCATCAATCTTCGTAAGAGATAGATTGCCTCCATGGTTGAGCGTCCTGGCATGAACCCGAATTGGTTGTCCGAAACCCGTGTCTCTTGCCTCAATCTATGCTCAATGACTCTCTCCCAGAGCTTCATTGTATGACTCATTAGCTTAATACCCCTATAATTCATGCACTTTTGTACATCGCCCTTATTCTTGTAGATAGGCACCAAAGCGCTCATTCGCCACTCATTCGGCATCTTCTTCGTTTTCAAAAATCCTATTGAAAAAGGTTAGTGAGCCATGTTATACCTGTCTCTCCCAAAACTTTCCACACTTCGATTGGGTATATCGTCTGGGCCTACTGCTTTTCTATGCTTCATCTTCTTCAAAGCTACACCCACTTCTTCCTTCCGGATTCTACGATAAAAAGAGTAGTTTCTACACTCTTCTGAGTTACTCAACTCCCCTAAAGAAGCACTCCTTTCATGTCCTTCATTGAAAAGATTATGAAAATAACCTTTCCATCTGTCTTTAACCGCGTTATCTGTAGCAAGAACCTTTCCATCCTCATCCTTGATGCACCTCACTTGGTTTAGGTCCCTTGTCTTCTTGTCCCTTGCTCTAGCTAGTTTATAGATATCCAACTCTCCTTCTTTGGTATCTAGTCGCTTACAAATTGTAACAGAGAGTTCGGTGTCTTGACTCTAGTCTGTGCTTTATAAAATATTTAGTTTTTTCATGCAACAATATTGCAGATTCCAGTGCCAAATGAAATTGATAATATGATTTAACCTGATGGGAGATAATTCCTCAGGGAAATGAGATAAATCCAGGGTTATCCCTTTTGATGACTGGGCAGCGAACTCCATTAATAAAGCAGAAAATAGCAGTAGAACTGCAACAAATCAATCCATGGTTTAAGACATATCACACGCAGGTACTATCAAATTCCAAAAGACTGAATAAGAAAACATACATGGCCCCAACCTAGCCATTCCCGTCGCAAACAATGACCCAAAAAGCTGGCCTAGTGTGGCACCGGCACCAATAAAACCAAATAATCTTGAACCTGACTGAATACACATCTAGTTACAAGTGTAACAAAAATTCGTATTGCAATCACATTTGTGTGGCAGGGATAGGATACATACCTCAAAGTCCATGACATCGATTATTCTAGCCCAAGTCGAGGAAATTGTAATTAGATTAAGTAGGGCAATCTTCAAAATAAAGCATAAATTTTTATCACTACATAAAGTTTGATAAACAAATTACTTTACATATCCGAAATAGATCCCAACAGATATTAAAAAAAAGCAATTAGATATATTCATCATACCCAGAGGAACAATGCAATTCTGACCGAGACATACAACCGGCCAAGGTTCTCCCATGCTACAGAATATGCTGTACCAGCTTGATTAACAACAACCTTTTCGTCATTTACTGACGCGGTGTCTATACTGACCAAGCCCTAGCCATACACAAGGGAACCATTCAGTAAAATACAAACATATTTCAAGAGTGTAAAAAGCAAACAAATCAGAAACAAACTGTACCCTAATGAGATATCATCTCACCTTCACCTCAGCTTGTGATCCAGCTGACGAAGCACGCCATAGAAAGAAGAATGCAACAAGTGATACACTAAAAAACCTGAGCATCAAAACCAAAGCCTGGAATTTCAAGAAGCGACTATTACAGAGCGATACGCAAACAAACACATCGAAAACCTGGCACGAACCAGCTATACCCTTTTACTCTTCAACCAAAAGTTATCAAGTTACAGAAGCACCCCATATCAAAAGAATCAATTTTTATCACAAAAACAACAATTTCGAACTGCGCATGTCGTAAAATGGCGGAAACACACGCATATCAAAATCTGGCATGAACTAGCTACACGCTTTTGCCTTTGAACCAAAACTATAAAGTTACAGAGACACCCCATATGAAAATAATCAAATCTTTACCACAATTTCGAACTCCCTATATCGAAAAAAAATGGCGGAAATACACACATACCTTGCCTTTCGAAACGTTGGGCAAAGAGAAGATGAGAGTTGCAACTGGTGCGGCAATCGATGTGAGGACCAATGACCCCACAAACAGGCTCGGCAGGTTCGACAGGCCTAAGGAAATTGCACCCTCATCGCGCAGCGGGAGCACTACAAAGTAAGCGCACAAAATCTGCACTGGGAAATCAAAATCTAGCTGAAAGAAAAACAACACAGTTTTCGAAATTTAGCAAAGGGACTGGAGAATTAGGAGAGCTTACGAAGAAGAAGCAGGATGAGGAGTGGAGGAGAGCTGAGATCTCGTGAGGGTGCACCACGACGAATGTGGAGAGGATTGTATCCAATCGGGACCTGCTCATGGCTCCTGTGTAAATGGAGGACTGGATTTGTTCGATTAGTGGTGTCTGAGAGAACGAAGAAGAAGAAAAATGAAGAGTTAATTAAAATTTGGTCCCTGAAATCTTCGGTGGTTTTACTTTGGCCCTCAATCTATTGTTTTTGTCTCAAATTGATCCACGCATTTTTTTTAAATGTTAAATAAAAACACCAGTGACGTCAGTTTTAAAATCTGATCACATTGACTTGTTGTTAGATTAATCACTTCTTAATTTAAGTTGTAAGCGACTGACTGACAGATTAATCTCTTCTTAACTATCATATTATTCTAGATATCCGTTCGATGAAGCAATCATAGTACATTTATCTAAAATTAAGGAGTTTGTGAATGACCTAGAGGAGGTATGTACGCTTGTATCCTACATTTTCATGGATGAATTTGTGGAAGGCCTTACTAATACGATCAATCCCCTGATCAATTGAATGTTCTTGAAAACTCACGGGCATTTTCATTCGATATTCGTTGCAGGTGCACTTTGTTTGGTTCGCGGATGATGTTTGCAGTGTTTCAGTGAACAAGGTCAATCAATTGTTCAGAGCCTAACATGTACCGCGCAACGAACTTTATGTCGTTGTATGTGGATGCAAAACTTTCTGACTTGTAAGGGACAGAGTCAGAAATTTCTTCTAGTGGGGGCAACCGAAAACAACTAAGAAAACCTTATTATAGTATGGTTATACACAATATAATATTAAGGATGATTTCAAAAGATGATGTATCACAATTTCAATGTTACAAAAATTTCAATATAGTAGTGGAAAGTGGCAAAGTGATGAGAAAAATATAAGTACATGATAGGTGGAAGAGAGTTTTTTTCGATTTGAATGATAGAACAAGAGCACTATTGCTCACATAACATTTGATATAGAGTATAAGTAGAACGAATGTATGTTGGATATTTGATACATATATCTTCTTCAAAGTTAACTTATATGGATTATATAATTGTAGTATGCAACCAAACAAACGAATTACTCGAGTGGGGTATCTGCCACTCGTGAGCCTTCTTTGGCTCCGTCCATGCTTGTAACCGCAACGAACTTTATGTCATTGTATCTGGATGCAAAACTTTCAGACTTGTACCGTGCAACGAAATGGTGAAATTAAGCATATCATAGATTGCCAATTGAAATGTTCACTCGTTGAAGAAGACCTCAAGTTTCATATCCTGACCAACACAACTACAAAGCAGCGTACAGATGACGGAACATGAACGAAAAGAATGGACAATTATGCCAGGCCTGGTATGAGGAAGCGGCAGCGAAGTATGCAACATATCAATGACTTTATAACGAAATATCAAACCTGACAGTACGATATTGATGACTAAGCGTCTGAATCTAAATGATCCGGATTACGAATCTTTGTCCTTGGGTACATTTCTGGGAAGTTTGTTGAAAACACCATCATCCACTATTTTATAATGCTTTGAAAACTGCCGGTGGATCTTTCCGCAACACCTATCCACGGTCTCTTCATATTTGCTGTATAAGGCTGGAAGTGTTATCGACAAGATTGAACCTGCGACCACGAAAGAACTTTCTTTAGTATAAAACGTCACAAGACACATGAATGTATTCAGACCTGAACGAATAGTAAAGCAAAATCGGGAAGGGAGAACTGTCATACAAACATTGCATATAGCTACATGATATACCAAATAATACCAATAAAACCCCATACAAGACATCACGGATCATTCATTTGATAGTCCCAGGAGGATGAAGCACACACCGATATAGGCAAGCGTAAAGAAGGAGAAAAAGCTGCCAATGACGGACAAGAGCCACAAACAAACCACCACCTGTCAAAAATATAGTAGCTTGGTAAGACAGTAATAGCTACAGATGCAAAGTAGCATGTGAACACCGTGTAGTTTCAGAAATAAAATAGATCCTGCAAATATAATTCAAACCCAGCGATTCCTGTATTATTATCGTAACATTAATACTGACCTTGAAGAATAGTCTAAAGTCTTTGCCAAGAGTGATGTCATGAGCCATAAGCAGCACATTGTTGATTTTAACACGGAACGACGCTGCAACATTATGAACCATTTCCTCTGATACAACTAGCTCCGGTAATGTTTGCAGTTGTCTACACAAAGAATATGATAGTTATCCTAATTGAAAACAGTCCCAATTCTAGGGAATATGATAGTTATCCTAATTGAAAACAGTTCCAATTCTAGGGTAATAAAATACCGGGGAAGAGGGTAGAAATTCTTACTTATTTCTGAAATCAGCATAGTTGGCACAAAGGAATAAGAGTACAACCAAAATCAGCAAGACATCTGCACAAATTGATAAGAATGATAGTCCAGACCGCTCGAACACAAGCCAGGAAACTGTAGCAACAATGATAGTGCCAAAGGAAACACGCCCCCGCTTCCACAACAAAATATCAGCAGCTAAAAAGAAAAAGAGATACAGTGAAGAAAAGAATAAAGACAATGTTGACAAATCAAGATAGGCATATATGCAAAGACACGCTGCAGGTAAGAAATGATGTAAGACAGTGATATTGGCAGCCAATTTCATGTAAACTAACTTGATACTTTCTATTTTAACAAGTGAAAACCATTCTCGGGTCAGTCACTACAATATTCAGATACTTAAAATCCAACTCCTACATTCAAGTTGTTCACATATGCATGAATGAATAACGAGGGAACAACAAGCCTTGCTATTTACAAAAGACTCTTCAGGAAGAGCAAATGTGACAGGAAAAGAACCAGGCAATTTGTACACACATACTGAGAGGCAAATGTGATATTCCAAACAACTGGACAATGGGGCATACTGGGTGAGCACAACTAGAAGCCTAGGATATATCTACCAGATTCAAACTTGTCTGCATGCATCAGATCATAACACAAATATGCTGTGCTTAAACCTTGCATTATGGAACGATGGCATTTGCTCCTCTATCACAGATTCACGATACTTCGACTCTTGTAAGGAATGTGCTGGTAGAGTCAATACGATGCAAATTAACTCAACGAAACCAATAAAGTTAGCTTGCTCTTCCGTTTCCCTAAGTCTAGCACTTAATTCACGAAGCAAGCTTTGCGACACAGCGCTCTCCTACACTAAAAAAATGCAAGTGATTCCGCTCCAAGAATGCCATGGATCGCTTAAACCCTCCTTCTTCTCCTCTTTAACTTTCAGTCATCCTTTTTCCTCCAGCAGTTGCAACTAACCACACATTCTTTTCAACTAAAGAGCACAATAATCAACTGCCCTCTTTACCGCAACCTCTACATTACGCCTTTACTCATCCGTTGACTCTCGCCATCTAACGCCGGTCTAATTTCTAATCAACCGGCAACATCGACACTTCAAGACAAACCAGAACCACATTCAAGTTGACCAATCAATTCTACAAACTAAATGCAACCCAATATTGCTTCATCAAAGATAATCAAGAACCCAAAAAGCACAACATTTTCGTTTTTCGCAGATAATCAAGTGACAAAACCCCAAAAATTCAAAAGATGGAAAGGAAATTATAGAGATACCCCACAAACCCAAATGCCAGAAATGTTCTAGAAGTTTCAATCTTTCAATAATTCAAGTCAAAATAAAACAAAAAGTTTCAATCTTTGCTCACCTCGACCGCCGCCCAAGCAATTGTGCACTGACTCTTGACGGCCAAACAACCGATACGCAGCGCCGCAGGATGCGGCGGTGTAAGAAGTGGAAGGCACCGCCTTCCGTCCATCCCCATCTCCCTCTGTGCTGCATAATTCTTGTGAATTCTCCATCAAGCAAAGCAACGAAGAGTACGGAGTTATGAAATTCGTCGGTGTTCCTCGAAGAACTGAAACGGAGAGAACAGGTTCCTCTGTTATGATCTAAATCATCTGACGTTTGAAGACTTTGGTCTGCTCGGGATTCTTTGCCGGGACACCTGTCCAATTGAGTAACGACAAAAACAGGGTACCAAAAGAAATTTGGAAAAATATATCTGTAAATTTTTAATCGAGGTCTCAGAAGTCAGGTACCTGGCACGTGGATGGGACGGAAGCAGTGGGACTTGATTTTAGTCAAGTTATCTGGAATGCATTGTTTCGTAGAATAGATTTTAGTCAAATTTTTTTGTACCTTTTTTTTAACACAAAATTATAATTTTTTGGATAACAATACCCCTCTTCTTTTTTATTAATTTCATTGTCTACCCTCTCTCATGTAGCCTCCTCTTTCTCCTTCATCATAAACCCAGCAGCCCAGGCTAACCCAATCTCAGTAAATCCATCAGAACCCAACCCCACCTTCCCCTCGCCGCCTTCCTTCTCCCTGCTAGTGCCACGACAAGATTGTCACCCTCCACCGCAAAAACCTCAAGACCACCCACTAGCAGGACGTGGCCGACGCTGTCGCTCGAGGGATGGGACGGCAAGGATTAGGCGGAAGATGTGAGGGATGACGTTGGACTCATCGGCAATGGCTCAGGTAAGGTTGAACTTGTCGGAGTGTACGTACACCAAACGTAGCATGGAACTTCCTTTCCATTCCGTTCTGTCTCGTTCCGTTCCGTCGGCGTACCAAACAGTATCTCACTGGATAGTGATAAATAGTATCTCACTAGATAGTGATAACAAATTCAGAAATTCAGATAATTTATGTTAAATTTTACTGTAATTATTAATCCATCTTTTCAGTCACCTAACACAAACTAAAAGCCGAATTGTTCAATCCGCCAACTCGTGACGCAAAATCCGAAAGAGAATCCGAACTTGTAACTTTTTAGTCGCTACGTTTTTCAAATCTACAAAATTCTAGGTGCCATAAAGTTTGGATATTTGGCCGGACCGTAGTAGACAATTAGACATAAAATATTTAATCTTCAATACAAATGAACATGTAACAACTATTAACAAAACAATTTATATTCTAATCCACCATTCACCATGAAATTCTTTGCAAAGAAAGCGAGACTCCCAACGGTAAAAATGACATTGGCCGTATTCCCAATCGAGAGAGTTTTCTTTGTTCATGATATAGTCGCACATATGATTTAGAGGTCGTTGATTCAGTCTCATTTTTTGTTTTCTATTTTTGGTTCGAGATTTCTATAGAATATTCAAATAAAATTTTTTAAGTGACGGCTTAACCATCATCTTTAGTATGGAGTATGATTATTTTTCCTCTAAATTCATTTCCCTTCCCTCTTTTCTCACTTTTATTTTTGTCTTTCTCTCAAAAAAGACAATACAAAATGTTGATGTTGTTTAATCGGAACCGTTCAGATAAGAAGATAAAAAAAGATTAAAAGGAGAAAAATTTGGAGATAGGAGAATTAACCACCATCTATAGTAGGGAGTAGGATTCTTTTTCGTCTAATAAGACAACATTAAGTATTAAAGTGATTTAATCGTGATCGTTAAATAAAGACCGGAAAATAAGAAAGAGGTATTTGCAAGTTTGTCCTCCAAACTTGTATAAAGCTGTTAATTTTTCCTTGAACTTTAATTTTAGCCAATTATTCTCATGAACTTTTATAACTAGCCAATTTCCCCGAACTTTAATTTTAGCCAATTATTCATATAAACTTTTATAACTAGTCAATTTCCTCATGAATTTTAATTTTAACCAATTACCCCCTAAAATTTTTAAAATAGCCAATTTCCCTCATAGTGTTTAGATTTTAAAATTATTCATCCAATTTTCATCCAATCTTCCATTCTTATGCCACCATACGGTCATCATGTGTTGACCAGATGATCAAAATAGATGGAAAATTGGATGGAAATTTTAAAATCCAGCATAAGGAGGAAATTGGCTATTTATAAAAGTTTAGGGTGCAACCGGCTAAAATTAAAATTCAAGAAAAAAATTGACTGATTATAAAAATTCAAGAGGTTTGTTTGTACCATACTTGACCAATCCCGAAACTACTGAGCACCGATCAACGTTATACCGTCAAGGACCCAAAAGAGTTTCACTATAACCAATAGGCCAATCACAGTGCGACACGTGTCGACATCAGAAGCTAATCACAACACGACACGTGTCAATGTCAGAACAAAGCTAAAAACTCTTCTATAAAAGAAGATCATTCTCCCACAATATTTCCTAATGTCATTTGTACTAAATCATTCACTTGTACTCACTAAAGGAGAGCTTGAACCTTTGTACTCGTGTAAACCCTTCACAATTAATGAGAACTTATCTACTCCGTGGACGTAGCCAATCTGGGTGAACCACGTACATCTTGTGTTTGCTTTCCTGTCTCTATCCATTTACATACTTATCCATACTAGTGACCGGAGCAATCTAGCGCAAGTCACAAACTTAACATTTTCCGTTGTACCAAAGTCCTCACTGATTTTGCGCATCAACATTTGGTGCCGTCTGTGGGAACGACACTTTCAGCTTTACCAAACTGGTTTCCACCATTTGTACACTCTCTTTTGACCAGGCATCCTTCTCCAACATGGGGAGCGAAGGAAGCCACAACACAGAATGACACCCCTCTTGCACCACCTAGTGCGAAGCAACGAAAGAATGAAGGAAAGAGGGTTGCTCTTCAAGCTAAAGTCAATGAGCTAGAAGCTCATAACAACAAGATAGCAATAAAGAATGAGGTCCTCCAGAAGCAGTATGAGAAGCTCTTTGATACGCTCCACGAAACTAGGCGTACTTAAACACGCGAGCTTATCAACCATCATCTGGGTACCCCCCAACACGGAGGGTTACCTCCCTTCGACATGGGTATCCCTGATGAGGAGCGAGCTAATCATCAAAACATTGATCAACATGAGACTTCTCTCAAACCAGATGTTTCGACCCAAAGCAGAAGAAGTGGAGGAAGACACCTTATTGCAAGAGGGTTGGAAGGATCGAAAGCTATTTATCGTGACTGCCGAGACTTTCTAAAGCAACGTCGAGATAATCCCCTCCATATATGCTCGAAGATCAATGACCCAAGGGTTTCTGAAAGATTAGGTCCCCTCCCACGACCCAGGCCAGCTGCCAATCTAGGGAATGAACGACAGGTCCCAGAGGAACATAAAGGTATAAGGGGACTCTGAGGTATTCCGATAGACTCGTCCTAGAAGTCAGTATGGCGAGTCCAAGAAAAAACCACACGCCCTTGCTCAAACTTTCCTATTTCCAAAAGGCGATAAAGACTTACGAAAGAAAATTCCAATGGTACATGACTCCATTCAGGACCCCCTTGTCCTACAGCTCATTGAGGAAGTAAACAAGTTGAAGGCCGAACATCAGGGCGAGATACCTGACTGGAACCAACCCAGGCCTGACCCTCTCACAAGAAGGATCCTCGACACCCCCTTCAAGCGAAGACAAAACAAAAGCTTGGTTTACAACTCTATATTGGAAGGAAGAACCTAATTGAACACCTTAACCTATTTTAGTCCACCATGGCATATCGGATGCACACCGACGAAGAGCGATGTCTTCTCTCCCCCTCCACTCTCTCTGGCGGAGCTCTAAACTAGTATTGTCGTCTTCCACCTGAGACAGTAGACGCATTTGAGGAATTGAGGAAACTGTTTGTCTCTCAACATATCTTCTAGACCGATCACTTGCATTCTGCAGATGACTTGTACACTATTCGCCAAAAGCCGGACGAGTCACTACGAGAGTATGCTGGTCACTTCAGCCATGAGTATTCTTGCTGCGATGAGACAGATGACAAGACCGCCCTCAAAGCCTTCACGGCAGGCCTACGTGATTGTTTCTTCAAGTACATGATCAATGCCAACACTTGGAAAACTTACTTTAAAGTGATGGCACATGCTTACAACCACGCATCTGCCGAAGCAAGGACATACCAAGGGAACCCCCATATGGTTAACCCCTATCAACAAGTGGAAAGTGGAGGTCAAGTTCTACCAAGTGATAAGATATTGGCCATTCAGATACTCATTGCATCATCTCATGCCTCATTTAGCTACTCGCTAAGTCACCAAACGTATCTGTCTCTTGGTAAGAATAAGGATTTTTACTCTCAACAAGCACATTACAACAAGAGGGATAAAAGTTCGTATCAAGACAACCAGAGGTGAACGTTCCGTCGACTATTATGAATATTGGGCCAAGCCTCACTCTTTCAAAGTGGAGGACTAGGTACTGAAGGAAATGCTATTATAAAAAGGCATACACATTACAAATGTTTTGACTCTCAACTGCTTGAGATATTTTGTCACACAAGCCATTCGACAAATATTTAAAGAAGATAGAATTCAGACAACTTCTTCTGAGTCTTTTGCGTTCCTAGCATTGGAACACTTGGTCTATGCTGACCTACCCTTATACTCCAACTCAGATCTTCAACATGCGTACTTTGACACAAAGTATGTGATATTAAATGTTACAACCAACATGGTTCACATATCAAAAGCATGAATCCCTTCATGCATAGCAAAACATTCATAAGCATCACTCACATCAATCAACGTAAACATCATACATTCTAACACATTTATACATAAACATCATACATTCCAATACATTCATACATAAACATCATACATTCCAACACATCCATACATAAGCCAACCATGCTTCGAAAGGGTTCAACATACTTTGTGTCTTCGACACTTGCTACAATGTGCATCGACACCTTGCCCTTATTTTCACCAACCATGTGATGAAATGTGAATAATGAACTCATCTTCATGCCACCAACCAGGTGATGAAATGTACAACCTGTACTCTCCTTCATACCACCAACCAGGTGATGAAATGTACAACCCGTACTCTAATATCATTTGGCAACTTGCCACTCATGCCACCAACTAGGTGAAGAAGAAACTCATCTTTATGCCACCAACCAGGTGATGAAATGTACAACCCGTACTCTCCCTCATGCCACCAACCAGGTGATGAAATGTACAACATGTACTTTCATTCATGCCACCAACCAGGTGATGAAATGTACAATCCGTACTCTCCTTCATGCCAC